AATTTTACTATAAAAAATAGTCCCGTAACAACACGAAACAAATTTAATGATTGTATATATAGTTACTGTAGTAAAATATCAACATTTATGTAATAATCAACAAAAGAATTTTAAATTATGATCAAAGCAGTCTTGTTAACTTTAATTATATATGTAACCTAGCTTTAGCATAAATATGTTTATAGGTCCAACATCATATGTAGGTCACTTCTCCGACCGCCGCTATATTGAATGCAATGTTGCAATTGATGAAAGGGTAGTTGATTAGTATGGTCAGAAAACTGATTTGTGTTGATTTGTGTTGATGTTAAAATAGCAGAGGAAGTTGAGTTGCTTACGAAATCGGGTGGTAAAGACTGAGGGACGATGTTTGTATCAGATGATGGAGTGTTTGTTGCTGTGCCGATTTTTCGACCTGATTCAGATGGGCTGTTTACTGATGAGGAGTTTTTGGCCTTGCAAGGATTCGGTTACATGGACAGCGTTGCGCTAGCGACTTGCTTTTGATCCGAAGATAACTCACTACCGTAAATCTGGAAATTTTTGTTGTAGATAAATTTTTAGCAAATTTGCGAGTGCATTGCATTCGCAAAAATATTTTTCTTAAAAATTAATCACCAATAAGAAAATGTAAACAAAGCAGTGGTCATTCGCAAAATTTTGAAACGTAAAAATTAATCAACAGCATTTAGACCTGAATTCGCAAAATAAAATCGACGTTAAAATTTCCAGATTTACGGTATCTATTCCGTTTGTAAAAAGATGTATTATATCTAATTACTTAGAAAACAATTAAACAAGACATTTCTTTTATTCACTGTTTTTTATACACCACTCATATACATGAATGTTGACATTTGACCTTTCAGTAGTATTTCACTAGAAAAAGATACGCACGACAGGTACGTATTACCACGAAATTAACAAGATGGACTTTTGTAGAGTTTAATTTATCTTACAGAAAACAATTGGAAGTGGAAATATTTAAATAAAGACATACTATTGCTTACTAAATATATTAAGTTATATGAACGGTTTTAGAATTTTTACTTACTGTATGTTTGCTTAAATTTTTATTTCCTGGGAAGCCAGCTCCATTTCTACCTTTAGGATATGACACAGAATGTATCAGCTGTCAATTCTTGTTCACAGCTGGCTCCAAGTTGGAATTCTCTTTAAGGTGAAGAACTGCAATAGTCTAAAGAAGAGAAGAGCGTTGGCATTCATGATTAAAATCTTTAAAAGCAATCTGAGGATTTAAGTTCTGTATATGACAAAGCAGAACACGTTTCCAAAACAATACTGTAATTCAACCCCATTGCCCAAAAAATATAATCACGAGAAAATGTTCTTTAAAAACTTCAAAAAAAGTTATTATAGGCCGTTGAAAAAGACAGCGGTAAATTGTTTTATTTGCAAATACGATGCTTCAGGGAAAGTAACTGTTACACAGTACTATATCGTTTATTGAAAAAGTGTAGTAGAAATTGCGGCTAGATATTGGGTTCTAAACAAATTCTAACATGTTAAATTAAAATTCAAGTAACCTAATATTCATAAATTACTAAGACGTCTTGTTTCAGGTCGAAAAGAGGTGTTTTTGATTTTGAATTTTATTCCCATCTTCTAAATATGTACACGTTCCGCATCTCGGATTTCCGATTTCCAATAGAGGACCTAAGAAATCCACGCCATATAGACGATAACAATAATAACGGGAAAATAGCCTTTGTAGTTACCCCCCATAACCCAAGGAACAGAAACATCCTTATGGACGCTAAAAGATTTTATCCCATTTTAGAACAATCGGAAAACGTGAAAAGTTTAGTTCAACCAAATGATATCATAAACAGTCGACGACAAGCACCAAATCTTAAAACACTGTTGACCAAGGCCCGTTTTATATTTAAAAGAATGCAACAATTAATTATCTTATTTGTGGTACTAAGCACGAAGAAGATTTTGATCAGGTGAGAACTAAGAAGTAGGGTAGATTTCACTTTTTATTTTAGTTAAAAAATTTACTTATATGTAATTAAACAGTGTCCGCAACTATATAGTAAATAGGTTTAACATAAGTGTTTAATTTCAAAACCACTGGATTCTACTGACAGCAAAGAAAAAACTTGGGAAATGCTAAAAACTGACTTGTGCATAAACAGTTAGATACCTGGTACATGTACCTGCTCTAAACAAGTTTCAACAATGAATTATCGTTCATAACAGCGAACCCTTACCGGCATTTGAAAGGCCTATATAATGGTATATAACCCTGAACGTAAGCCACTGAACTCTGTAGTGTGACGTGTTGCACGTGTTATGCATGCTATCAATGAAAAAAATTCCAGATGTGTAGATGTATCAACTATGAAATGAGATATTCTTTTAAAAATTTCATAGGGATATGGCATGAAGTTGATCACGTGATCAAATCCTTAAAGGCCGAAGGACGTTATAATTAGTGTGACATTTAACTCCGGACACGACATAGTCCTGACATTTTACTACCATTTCTTATTGTGATATCCAAAAGCGCTTATAGCACTTAGAGGGATTTGTTTCACATGATGTCATCTTGAACTCACAAACAAGACTCTATTTTTAACCAAATGTAGTCCTTAAAGTTAGAATCTCATGGGAGAATGGTGGGATTTTCAGTTTCATCAGAAACACCATGGGAGAAAAATTGGCAGATAGGATAATTTTTCTCTCACAAAGGAGATGGGCGAACTTAACATGAAAAAAGTCCACTAACGTCATTTAAAATTGTGAATCTAGCATTGAGAGTGAAGTTCTCATTATTGATATATTTATAAAATCATGATAAACAAAAAATGCTAAGGAAAATTTTTCGATAAAATTTATTCTTTTACAGAAAAAAATAATGTGGTATCCATTGAGTTAGAACACTAGCAATAAAAATCTTGAGTAGCACTCTCTATTGAGACTAGCACGCTATAACAACTACGCTACACAAGTCCTGATGAATATTGGCATTAAAATCATGTGTCTGATATGACCATTGACTTAGTGGATACGAAAGTTATGTCATAAAATTAAATTTTAAGATAAAGGAATAGTTGGCCTTTGCTCCATAATTTTTTAAAATAAAATGTATATATCTGTATGCAAACTTTGAGGATTAACTCTCGGGAAAATGGAGCGAAGACTCACTTATATCTAAATATAATGTTATACATATATGTTTCCCATATATTTCATCGTAGGTATTGGATTCCATATTGTTACCCACCCTGATCCCAAGGGTCATGTTTTGAACAATTTCATATCTACACTACCCCAGAATGCTTTCACATAAGTTTCAGCTTTTCTGGCCCAGTTGTTCTTGAGGAGAAGATTAAAAAAGATTCCCTCTTATGATAAACTTTGATTCCCTATTCTGGGTCTGTCCTACCACCAGGGGTCATGGTTTGAACAATTTTGAAAATACCCTACCTCAGAAACATTCCACATAAGTTTCAGCATTTTTGGCCCAGTGGTTTTTAAGGAGAATTTTTTTTAAAAACCCACCCTATTTCTGTCCTTTCTTCATTATCTGCCCTTCTGATGGGACTTGGTCTTTCATTTTAACAATTTAAACTCCCCTTCCCTAGGGATATTTTTTTCAAAATTAGTTAGAATTTGCCCAGTGGTTCTTCAGAAGAATTAAAAAATGTGAAAAGTTTTACAGACAGACAGACAGCTAGACGGACGGACGGACAGACAGACGAACGGACAAAATATGATAAAAAACTCACTTGAGCCTTCGGCTCGGGTAAGCTAAAAGTTTTTGAAGAAGGTTTCCTATGCTTATTGGACTTTTACGAGAAGCGCTGACTTTTACGGTTGACGAATAACTCTCAAACTAGGACATTGTACGGAAGCTCTTTTAAGATATAAATATTAAGCTCAACATTTAATTCAACGAAAATAAAGGGCTATCTTAAAGCACAGATAAGTTGTCATTTAGAAAAACGAAAACCACCCTACCCTCTAATCCAGTCCTTCATAAACAAGTGCCCCTAACACTATTACTATGACCACTAGAAAGGGTTTCTTATTCATATCAATTCTGTAACTCTGTAGATGATACATGTATAAATGTCCAAGTAAACAGTAAACTGTAAAAGTCAGTGCTTCTCGTAAAAGTCCAATATTAGGTTAACAGATGTAGCCAAACCTTGTTATCTAGGCCCCTAGTAAACCCTGAACAAACTTTGATATCCAAGAGCATTGAAGTTAAAATACAAAAAAGAGTATTGGGATATGTCGTTTGGACTATAAACTCACATGAAAATATTCTGGGTGGTATGTACACTAGACATAAGAAATAAGGAAATTATTTAATTGTTTGTATAAAAGTCAACATAACTTTTTATTCCATGTATGTCATGAAATACTACTAGACCAACATGCTCTTCATGAAGTAGAACTTACAACCCTACTACACTGGTATGTATATATTGTTAAAAACAAACTCAGCAATCCGTAAGAATTTAAAGGAGACTTAAGTTGTTTGCAATTCTTTTGTATGCAATTAAAGTGTTAATTTAATTTGTCTTGAATGAATTATATTTAACTCGATTTAAATGCCGTAGGCTTCAATTTACATGTATAGAAGATCTAAATGCATACCACTTAAATTAAAATTACAGTAGAATCACAACTATTCAGTGTGCAGTGCATAGGGAGGCAACATATCACAATTATACCTTTATAATTTTTATTTGTATGCTTTTCTTTAATTAACGCAATTTGTAGTTTCTACAATCAGCTGTTATCAATTTATTCCGTTTATTCCGTTTTACCTTTTATTATTGAGCATTCATCTGAACCCCAGGTAAAAGAATAATAATAAGAACAATTATTACTCATAAATTTTCACAAAGAATTTACGAAATAATTACTTGAAATGAGACTGCTGATAGTCTTGCTTCAGCAGCTTTTTTGTTATACATGTATACTCGTTTTAGAAATTGTTCTATCGTAGACCAAATTGTTTACATATATTTGATTTTCTTCACTTGACCACTGTTACACTCAGCTACAAGGAGGTTGTCTCTGGTGTCTACACATAAGCCCCATGGATACTGTAGATCACAGTTATCAATGTAGCAGAGGAATTGTCCGTCCTGATCAAGGATGTGAACACAATGATTTAGAGAGTCTGCTGTCAGGATGTGACTCTGGCTGTCTGTTGTGATGCCAATTGGATAAAATGATTCCTTGGTAGTAGAGGGATGACCTGTGTATCTAAATCGGAGTTTTCCTGTCTGGTTAACAACCACTACAGCACTGGCTTCCCGGTCAGCTACACAGATATCCAGGTTCCTGTTCTCACTGATGTATTTTGTGAAGACACCAGATGAAAAGAGAAGTTTACCTTTACTATCAAACTGAATGGTTTGCTTTTCTGTGAAATTAGTGTAACGGACAACTTTTGATTTTTCATAATCAGCACTGTTCATAATTACCAAGAGGTCTCCAGAGGAGGTATTACAGATATAGTTAGGCTCCCACCCCCGAAGATTGATCACTTCCTGTATCTGTTTATTCTTCACTATGTTTACAGTTCTTGTATCAGGGTCAGTATAAACTAGGTCTCCACTGCTTGTCACTGCTATGTCGCGTGGATGGTTCTCTGACTTGGTTTGGATTGTATCCAGTAGTTGACCGTGCATGTTGTAAAGTTTCATGATTCTGTCTTCTCCGCGTGTCCAAATTTCGTCATCACTGAGACAGGTAACTTTGCGTAGGAATTCATATCCAGTGTTTATGTTGGTTAAAATCTCTGGTTTATCAAGCAGTGGTTTGATTGAAGTAGAGGATACAGCTTCTGGTGTCTTCATTGTGTAGCCATGTTCATCTGTTGTTACAAAAAATGACGAAAGAGAACCAAACATTTGACGGAGCTGGTCTGTGTTGATCTGATGAGGAGAGAAACTTGGTAATGATATACTAAATTTAGGAGGTAATTTTCTAAATTCAGCATTCCTGGATTTGTAGGTAGAAGCTACGGAGACATCATTTGAATCAAGTATTTTCTTCAGATTAAACAAAGTTTGTTTCACATCAGATAACATCTGTTTAATTTCATTTTCCTGCTTATTTAAAACAGCCAGATGTTTTGATTTCATTTCATCAATTTCAGATTTCTGTTTGTTGACAATGCTGTTAATTTTTCTATGCCAGTCTTCTCCTTTTTTGGTGACAGCTGTTGTCAGTTTTTTATAATGTTTTACCATGTTCAGTTTTTCAGAGTTTAAATTTGCTTCAATTTTTTCATAGGTAGGATATATTCTATTTTCTAGTTCTTTAAAATCCATCATTAAAATTTCTTTAATGAATCTAGGATTCTGTAAGATATCTGTTAACTTATGCCCATGATGTTCATCGGAAGAGATGCAGGTAGAACAGACAGGAATGTCACATTTTTCACAGTAAAGTTCACAATGTTTCTGAGTGTGGTTCGGGCATTTTTGGTAGTTAGGAGCAGAAGTTTTATGTTTGTATGGTACAACATTGTGTCTTTCCGATGAATCAGAGAGATGCTCCACCACACAGGCTTTGCAGAGGTTAATCTGACAAAGTTCACAATGACTCTGTAATGCGGCTGTAAGACACAGGTCACAGAGGAGGATTTCTTGAGCTCTGTCCAGGGGCTCCATGTCACATCATCAGAAGACACTTTTTAATTACAAAAGCATAATAATTATAGAAAAGGCATTTCAAAGAATTTAAATAATTAACTTATTTTATTTTGATTACGTTTGTATGGAAGTTGTTGGGGAAAGAAAACATAAACAGTTGAGGTACAGTATATCGAAAGCTGTACTGTAGTCAACCAGCAAGAATATTTTTCAATGATTTATTTTAAAACTAAAATTTAATTTAACGATGATATTCTTAATTCATAATGGAAAAATTAGATAGATTTAATAGAATATAATTTATATTTTCAAAGCTTTTGAACATTAGATATCGATTTTAAACTCGCTTTTAAATGCTTTTTGAAATTGATCCTTCTATCATTTTCCGTAGCTAATCTTAATATTATTAATGGAGTCCATCGTCAGTAAATCTTAAAGTACTTAAGGGCCATCCCTGTTCTCATACTTTTCCAGCATACTTGATAAATAGAAGTAAACGCATCTATTTTTACACTGTTTTTTTTTCGCTGATCTAACTATGGAATATAATAAAGCGATTTCCGTAAAAGGTCTGCTTAAGCACTATTAGAGGTTGTGTTCCAAAGGAGCACCCTTCTATTCCCGGTACTTTCCCTCAACAAATCACTATATGATATGTAATGTAGTAGTTATCTTTATGTTATGGAAAATGTCAAAGAATGACTGCACTTAAGCTATGAGACTTGGAACCCGATGTTTTGCGCAAAATAAAATTCCAAAATTCATTAAAGAATGACTGCACTTAAGGGCGTTATTTGCAACCTTTTCGGTTACCCATTTTAAGCTTAACATTGCAATATATCGCTAAATTAATCTATGATTAATGTGCAAGCATATGTTTTTGATATTTTTTTCTAGAATTTTCCGTCATGCATATTTCTATAATTACATACAACGCTATTGAAAAGAACATGTTTAAGCCATAAATTCCGGAAAATTGAACTGGACCGCTTTCGATTTTAAGGTGGCAGCAAAGGGGCGGAGACATTTAAATCGCATGGAAATGAATAATAAGCACATGGTTTTCCGTATTTGATTTACATTAAATATGAAAAAGGCGGAGAGGAGGGTTTTGTGTTCATTGTGTACAAAAAATAAATGATTTATAACCATGCATATAATTTCATTAATTTGTATCCACGTAAGTAAGTAAAGTAAGTAAAGAGCAGAACATTAAGAGAAAAACAAAAAGTTCATAAAAATAAACAAAATTGTGATAAATATATGTCTGCATTTTGTACGCTTAGGTTTGTAGTGTCTTTTTTAAGAATTATTGGTAGATGAAAATGACACTGAAATACATTTTTATTTTCTGAACATAATGGACTGTCTTAGCGTAAATGAAAAATAATTTGCAACCTGTCTATAGGATAATCTGAAATAAGTACACACAATAAATCCATAAATGAGATGCCATTTGATTACTGACAGAGATAATTTCCAAAAGAGTTTTGATCTTTATTCAGAGTACAAAGGACAATGCATTAAAGAAAATGAATTTCGGCTTCTACATTATCAAGCACTGCATAATTTTCTCTATCTAACGTTCTTTTAAAATTGTAATACTTAAAATCTCACTGCTCATGTAGTATTTGCTGTCAAGCAGCGAATTAACTAAATCTTAAAATAATTATAAATTATGTGTTCGAACCTACAACATGTATTTAAAAAAATGACATTTTCACTTTATCTTAATTATCTTGAATAATAATTGTGGACTAAATTAATTAGTAACGGAAAAATAAAATAAAAAGTTTATTTTTTTTTTTTTGGTGTGACTGTGGGCTCCTACCCTGACCTAAAACTGGTCGGGCTCCCGTTTTCAAAATTTCTGGATCCGCCACTGCTATATGTACAGCATGTAATCGGCAAAATAATACCCCTTTTCTTTTAAATGCTCCGAACAAAAACACTATAGTGAAAGAAGTCAACGTAAACTTTAAAACGCCAATGAATTGTACGCAATGATCTTCAATGTTTTGAAAATGGAAGTACATGTAGATATAAAAAGAATTTTCCAACGACTGACACAATGGAAGCGTATCGAACACTTGAATGTCACGTGAGAAAAGTGATTATAATATCAAACGGGTCACATGGACTGACACTCGGTGACTTGCTAATTTAGTAGCTAACTCGAGCGAAGTTTGGGTACATTTTTTTAAAAATTAGATATGAGCCGCAACTTGACCAACATTGTCCTTTGGATATGTATAGGTTTAAAGTAAAATACACATTCTGTGCAAATAAGAAAAATGGTCAAGTTGCGGCTCGATGTAAACAAAGTCGTTGAAAACTGGTATGCATATGAATAACAATAGAAATGAGCCAAAACTGTAAGACCCCCGTCTCAAAAGGTAGTGTCGCTCGGTATTATTTAATACTTTCATGTAATATAATACACCAAAACCTGCTCTTAAGACATTGTTTAATACCTATTAAACATAAATTTAATGAATTTTGGAATTTTATTTTGCGCAAAACATCGGGTTCCAAGTCTCATAGCTTAAGTGCAGTCATTCTTTATGTTTAATAGGTATTAAACAATGTCTTAAGAGCAGGTTTTGGTGTATTATATTACATGAAAGTATTAAATAATACCGAGCGACACTACCTTTTGAGACGGGGGTCTTACAGTTTTGGCTCATTTCTATTGTTATTCATATGCATACCAGTTTTCAACGACTTTGTTTACATCGAGCCGCAACTTGACCATTTTTCTTATTTGCACAGAATGTGTATTTTACTTTAAACCTATACATATCCAAAGGACAATGTTGGTCAAGTTGCGGCTCATATCTAATTTTTAAAAAAATGTACCCAAACTTCGCTCGAGTTAGCTACTAAATTAGCAAGTCACCGAGTGTCAGTCCATGTGACCCGTTTGATATTATAATCACTTTTCTCACGTGACATTCAAGTGTTCGATACGCTTCCATTGTGTCAGTCGTTGGAAAATTCTTTTTATATCTACATGTACTTCCATTTTCAAAACATTGAAGATCATTGCGTACAATTCATTGGCGTTTTAAAGTTTACGTTGACTTCTTTCACTATAGTGTTTTTGTTCGGAGCATTTAAAAGAAAAGGGGTATTATTTTGCCGATTACATGCTGTACATATAGCAGTGGCGGATCCAGAAATTTTGAAAACGGGAGCCCGACCAGTTTTAGGTCAGGGTAGGAGCCCACAGTCACACCAAAAAAAAAAAAATAAACTTTTTATTTTATTTTTCCGTTACTAATTAATTTAGTCCACAATTATTATTCAAGATAATTAAGATAAAGTGAAAATGTCATTTTTTTAAATACATGTTGTAGGTTCGAACACATAATTTATAATTATTTTAAGATTTAGTTAATTCGCTGCTTGACAGCAAATACTACATGAGCAGTGAGATTTTAAGTATTACAATTTTAAAAGAACGTTAGATAGAGAAAATTATGCAGTGCTTGATAATGTAGAAGCCGAAATTCATTTTCTTTAATGCATTGTCCTTTGTACTCTGAATAAAGATCAAAACTCTTTTGGAAATTATCTCTGTCAGTAATCAAATGGCATCTCATTTATGGATTTATTGTGTGTACTTATTTCAGATTATCCTATAGACAGGTTGCAAATTATTTTTCATTTACGCTAAGACAGTCCATTATGTTCAGAAAATAAAAATGTATTTCAGTGTCATTTTCATCTACCAATAATTCTTAAAAAAGACACTACAAACCTAAGCGTACAAAATGCAGACATATATTTATCACAATTTTGTTTATTTTTATGAACTTTTTGTTTTTCTCTTAATGTTCTGCTCTTTACTTACTTTACTTACTTACGTGGATACAAATTAATGAAATTATATGCATGGTTATAAATCATTTATTTTTTGTACACAATGAACACAAAACCCTCCTCTCCGCCTTTTTCATATTTAATGTAAATCAAATACGGAAAACCATGTGCTTATTATTCATTTCCATGCGATTTAAATGTCTCCGCCCCTTTGCTGCCACCTTAAAATCGAAAGCGGTCCAGTTCAATTTTCCGGAATTTATGGCTTAAACATGTTCTTTTCAATAGCGTTGTATGTAATTATAGAAATATGCATGACGGAAAATTCTAGAAAAAAATATCAAAAACATATGCTTGCACATTAATCATAGATTAATTTAGCGATATATTGCAATGTTAAGCTTAAAATGGGTAACCGAAAAGGTTGCAAATAACGCCCTTAAGTGCAGTCATTCTTTTTTATCGATTTTCATTCTTCTCTTGCTTTCATGTCTAATGTATTAATCGAAGTACTGAAAGTACTGATGGGAGTTGATTATTAAATTAATTTGATGTATGATTGATTGATTTATATTGTTTAACGTCCCTCTCGAGAATTTTTGACTCATATGGATATGCCACCAATTGCCGGTGGAGAGCTGCAATTTTTTTTTACTTATACTCGGCACCCATTGAGCAGAGAGGGGTCTTTTTCGAGCCAGCACCTACTGCGACCAGGGACCTTCGTTTAAATACGGTCTCATCCGAAGGACCGGTCTCCAAGTCTTTCGGTGGGATTCGAACCTGAATTCGATGTGTGTAACCATGCCAACTTTCCAAATTATACTTATATTAATGCTTCCTGATTAAGGTATGTGAAAAGCAAATCCATAAGTGGATTTCGTGATCCTGCAGAGTCAAAGCGGTATGGTTTGATTTACTGTAAATCACTTTTTGATCGCAAAAATTTCTCTCGCATATATATAAGTACTCTTTACAGTAAGAACAATAACCATATTCGTAAAAAAAATTGTCATGCTAATAAATAGTTACATGTAATGACTATCTCGCGAAAATAAGATGTCTCGAAAGTTAGGTGATCTACAGTAATTTGAAAATAACTTGAATGATATGCGAAATCTTGTTAGATTAATCGTTTTCCTCAAAGACTTCGTCCTTATCTTAGATGAAGGTATCTAAGATAAAAAGATGTT